ACCCACCAACGCGAACGGTCGAGGAAGGGAGAAAAAGAGCTCAGAAATGACTTGGAGGGGTGTCCGCTGGTTTTGAGCACAAAACTGATCTAGAGCATGCCTCTTTTGCTATATCTGATACAATGGGTAGAGGCAATGGAGAGAGTCCCTCAAATAACGTGGCCCCATACCATGAAGAGCTTTGTAGGAATGACCTTGGGAGAGTGGGCTGAGAGACGCTGACTAGGGAATGATCAGACAAGAGGGAGCAAAGCCCATAGCTGCATAATGGCCACAGAAAGAAACTCAGAAAGGACCCTCCCTAACTTATCAGGCTGTAAAAAGAGACGGCGGGTGATTTGTACTTTCATACTTGCAATGTTTTGTTGTAGCCTTATACAATAAAGTAGAAGTAGCTCATCCTGTCATGTTTCCTGTCTGGTCTACCTGGGAAGGCTGACAGCTTTATAGGTGTCAACCAGCACTGTGAATTGGACCCAGTGGCCTACTGGGAGCCAGTGCAGATCACAAAGCAAAGGTGTAATATGGGCATACTGAGGCACTCCCATAACTGCTTGCATGGCTGCATTCTGGACCAATTGCAGTTTCCAGATGTTCTTCAAGGGCAATTCCATGCAGAGCACATTGCAACAGTTCACAGGTGGTGACCACAGCATGAGCGATTCTGTGCAGTACCTCCTAATCCAGGAAAGGACACAATTAGTACACAACACAGAATTGTGCAGAAGCCCTCCTGGCTGCAGCTGTTACCTGGTCATTGAACAAGAACCATGAGCCCAAGTGAACACCCACATTATGCACCAGTTCTGTCTGGGATAGTACAACACCATCCAGACCTAAAAATGGAACATTACTGGATCCAGGAGGCCCTAAATCCCAGAATATACCAAAAACAAAATCTTGTTTATTCAAATCCTTAAATCTGCTTTTTTGTACAAATTAAACTTGAGATTTTCAGATTTTCTCTCACTGGTGATACAAAGCCATCTGAAAGGCTGAGAGATGACAGATTTAATTTAGCCAACCATTAGAAATTAGTAAGTTACAACTGTTATTAGTAAGTTACTTACAAAAATATACAATCACCTTTTTCACAGCATTTTAAGCACAACACTGGACAGGTAGTCCGCAGTTAATGATGGCAATTGGGACAGGAATTTCCATCTCTAAGCGACCCAGTTGTAAAGGACAGCGTCACATGACCATACTGCTTGGCAACAGAAATTCCAGCACTTCCAGTTGCTGTCATTAAGTGAATCCCACACTGTTGTTAAATGTGACGTCACATGGTTGTCATTTGTGACCTGCTGGCTTCCCCACTGACTCTGCTTATCAGAAGCTGGCAATGAAAGTCACAAATGGTGATCATATGACTGCAGGGATGCTGTGACAGCTGGAACTTTGAGGACTGTTCATAACTACCATTCATTCAGTACCATCATAGGAACGGTCACTGCATGAGTGGTCATTAAGTGAAGGCCATCTGTTTATCCAAGGCTCCTCTTAAGTAGAAAAATTCCTGTTTGAGGAATATAATTTAACAGCATGTTAAAATGTTTAAATCTTATGTTCCTCTCAAGAATTTGGTTGACCACTATAATAGTATCTAGTCAAAATGGGATTGCCAGTGGACATGACCAAAACACATGCAGTAAGGTTCTCTCAAATATGTTACATCTCCAGCATACAAAGGTCAATAGCTCACCTTTTCTGAACATTCAGTTTGCAGTCCAACAACCTGAAAAAAATGGTTGGACTAATCTGATTTTTAAATCATAGGGGACATACTTGACATTGTGTACAATGAACCCACTGATTTTATAATATAGGATATTCCAAAGCAGTCTATATGATGAAAAAAAACTAAACTGTAAAACTAAAAGAAAAAAAAATCAGGAAAAAGAAAACAAAAGAAGAAAAGGAAAAAAAATACAGGAGGATAATACAATATGATAAATTCTCTATTCCAAATTTCTTGTACAGTGGTACCTCGGGTTGTATATCATCCAAATTCAGTTTTATAGCTTTTTTAAATTGTTGACAATATTGAATTGTAGATTTTTCCTCTGTAAAAACCTCCTCCAATACATTCAAAGCCATAGAGGCTGCTAAAGCATCCAGACCAAAGAACATGTTTTTAAATTGTATCTACAGTTTAGTGCAGGTAATGAATCCAGTGAAATGGTCGCATTATTTGAATTTGCACTATTTGAAGTGATATTTCTATGGGAAATAGGGCAACTGGTCCCAGCCCAATGGAAATAGGCAATTAAAAATTTTAAACATATTTTTATATGTTTATTAATGAAATACTGTGTAATAGTAAAAGAGGATAAACCCATATCCAAAGGTTATCTTCTGTCTCTGGTATTCTGCTATACTTCAAAACGAGCATCTTCTTTTTGGAGCTTTCCTCAGATGGAATCTTCCTTTTCTCCATTTTTCACAAACTACAATTAGCGTCTAAAACCCTAATGGCAACTGTGTGCGTGCGCTAGCCTTAACCACACATGCTAGCCTCGCACTAACTGAATTTTGGCTCGCATTAAATGTGATCTGGTATCAATTTATAAATCATACTAAATTGAATATCACGCTATTCAAACTCGCACCAACCTACCTGTATTGTTTTCCAGCTTTCTTTGGTATATTGTACTTTTTTCTGCACAAGAGGAAGAGTGTTTGAATTTGTAAAATATTTACTTAAAGATATTCCAGATACTTACAAATAGAGCATTTAGCACTCTTCTCCCTTCAGTTGATTCCATCATAAAACCAAGAATAGATATATTGTCTTGCTGTTATGAAGGACAATCAATTTTTTGTAGGCTGTTCGGAAGACAGAAAAATGACCTTGGTTAATATCCCCAAAGCATCGCTGTATGATTTGAGAGATTTTTTCCCTCTGGAGTTTCTATCTAGCTCTTGGGCCTTGGTAACCTAATATTGTTCTTTTGCAGCTGTTCTCCTAATGATACATATTTCTAAGGATTTCATTCTTAAATGAGTTTCAGAGCATGTCCATCTATAGGGAAATATAAGATAATAGCAGGCATTCTCCTAGAAATATGTTATATCTAAATCTTCATTAGATCCAACTTGAGAGAAGAAAAAATAAAAATCCACAGAAGCATATATCTCTTATGTATTAAAAAAGATGTCCTACATATTGGCTTCATGTGTTGCAGTTACCTTATTAATACTTAGTTCACTCAACAAGAGGCAACACGATGAATTAAGTATACAAACATGTATAAACTCATTACCCTCTGGTATATTATGAACTTCTAGTCAAGTATTTACAGCCCAAATGTTAATTATTTTCCCAAACAGGATTTAAGGCAGTAAAATACTAATTCAGATATAGAAAATGAGGTGAGCTTTTCAGACTGTTGTATAATTGACCCTAATTAATGTTCTTCCCACCTTGTAGTGTCAATCTTTTTGTGACTGTGAAAGCATGCAATGTTCATTTCCATTGTCCTTCTATTACTTTGTAATCTCTTGGTGTAATATAAACATATACCAGACCCACCTTAGGGATGAAACATTAACATGAACATTCTGAGGTCAAACTGCTTACAAGACTTAAAGCGATCACAATGTCCTGCATATTTTTCTGAAAGTTATACTCAACCAGGGAGCTAACCCAGATATGAAGGATCCCACCAAAGCTAAGATGCCAATGGCTTCCGAAGTAGTTACACCTTCTCTAGATCATATCCTCCACAGGCCTGTCATCTTGGACACACGGTTCGTTCATACTATGTCAACAGAATATCATAACCAAGTGGAACATCAGTGACAGTGATTGCGAGATCCTCCTGGCTCAAGCGTCACGTGGAAATAGATTAACAGTTACATTATAAATGCTCAGAAGTACATTCAACTTCTTTGGATTTCCCACATAATTCCCACAAATCCGTATCTAGGCAGGATATAATCTTGATGAAAACCAAATCAAACAAAAATGCAGGCTTACTACAGCCACTGGAAAAAAAAGGAGTTGTAAATAATAATCATAACAATTAGAACATATGCTCAGAAGGAAGAATATTGGAAGAATCTATCACAATGCAGAAAATATGTTACTGTTACGGTGTAAAAAACTGCAACTATTTAATATACAGTGAAATAAACCTGGAGAAGGAAAGAAACTTGGGGGGAGAGCCCACTTCCTCCTCACATATTATGAACTATTAATCATGTGTTCAGTCTTATTTCCTGTGGGTTGTCCAGCTTGCTGGAAATGGATGAATGAATAAAAATGTATATCTAACAGACTATGGCAACTTTCTTTCAGATGTCAACATAACTAGAGTTTTATAGATGACTTCTGGTGCAAACATTCCCATATATATTTCTTTTGATTTTTTATGCAAAATGTCCCTCTTTCTTTAAAAAAAAAATCTTCCCCAAGTTAAAGTTCAAAAATCTAATACGCCCTTTAAATTATTTCGGTATTTTCAATACCAGGATCTTGCATTTAAACCCCCCTCCCCCGGCCGCCATACCTCAACATAAAGAGCTTATAAATAAGAACAAAAAAGAGGGTTTTTTCTTACATTGAAGACCATACTGCTTCTTTTCATTACAGGACAAAGAGATAGAAAGAAGTTGGTCTTTGTTTAAGCTGAATTCAGAACCACATTCTTTTTTATTTTCTGGGAAGAGATAATGTATATTGCATGTCTCAAAGCATTAGAGGGAAATATCAAAGGGATAGAAAGCAGGACGCTATCCAAAATTTAGCTTTTGTGATTTAAAGTAGGACCTGGGGGACATCCGCACTTTGGGCGAGGACAGATATAAACCTTGTGCAATCCTTCTCCATCCAAGAGGCATTAAGAAGGATGTAATTACATACAGTCGCAATGAAAGGAAAACAAACGTTTTTGCTGTGCTTCGCTTATATGCAGAAAATCCTGAGCAGGAATGGTGCTGGAATCCTTTCTATGCACAATAGTTTTCTAAAATGCAACTTTTGTTCAGTAGGCATGCGATAATAAGGGATAATACAATACAATACAATACAAATACTTTAATGAACAAGTATAAAATATACACAAGGAATTTGTCTTCAGTGACGAACAGCAAGATCAATTTATAGTCTGAGTGCAAAATCTAGGTGCTAAGGAAAAAAAAAGTTTCCAATATTTCCAGTTGCAGAGTCCAGCTGCTGGCATATCTGTTTGGAATTCATTTTTCTATCTATGAATATGCACAAGTTCAAACCACAGTTCTTTCATTCCAGCACTTTGAAGATTTCTTTTAAAAAGAAATCAGTACTTCTTTGCCCACCTATCCTTCAGGCAAACATACCATTGCCTCTCAACGCTTTGTCCATTCTTTAGAAAATGTCTTACACCGAATCCATTCTAGTCAATCTCATAATCTCGTATCTGTTTCACAATGTCTCTAGGAAAGTCCCCATCTTAATCTTTCATGCTTTGAAAAGCAATATGTAACTTCCCCAAGCAATTAAATGGATATGACTTCAACTATGAAAAGCAAATATTTAGAAGCATACGTGAGACCTGTTAAGAAAGCAGACAGGGAAGGAATACCCCCTCTCCCCAATTTTTCAGAAAAAGTAAGATCAAGAGGGTACGGTGAGTCATGTGTTCTGCAATGGAGGCGGTCTTCAAATTTAGAACCCTAGAACTTAGGCTGTCTGAGTGAACTATCATTGGATGGTATTCTTCTTCTCAGGAACCGAAAGAACTAGCTGTGGTCATGTCAGCTAGTACTGAGATTTTGGATTGGATTTTGTTCTTTACTTGTCACTTCTAGCTTTATGGGCTTCTGCTAAAGCCACAGAATTTGAGGATTCTGAACCGGAGACTTTGGAGATCCTAAACTAGAAGATCTAGATCGGAGTACTGCTCCTCTATGGCCCCTAGGTTGACCCAAGGCTCAGAAGAAAGCAAAACTTGGCAACAGACTTTGAAAACAGAAGTTAAGTGTGTGGCATCATGCTCTACATTAAACTCATGGAGATCTTTAATTAAATATATAGCAGGCCAGCTACGAATTTGACAGGACTCAGAGTGGGTAGATCTTGTCAAGACATTGGGATCCCAGCAAAATAGAGGCAACCAGGGATGTGATATCAAAAAACATCCAGTGGATCTCGATAAGCATTGGAATGTAGATATGCATATGTCTCATGTGCTCACTTCTTCTGTGGGATTTGGAAATCTCATCTTTTCTTGCTGGATGTGGGCAATCTCCCATTGCCTTTGAGCTAACACACAACAAGTTCCAAAAACAAGTGGAAAGTGGCAAAGATTTGAAAGATATGCTAAGCCCAGTTACAATTATTTTCCTCCAATGTTTCAAACTTGAAGAAAACTGTAAATGTCATCTTGAATATTTAAAATATTTGGCAATGGCCAGGAAATAACAGTTATAAATAGTTTTGTAGAACATTCATATCCTTTGGCTGCCCACTTAACTGGCAAACATTCACCATTTTGGTAAGTTCCAAGACAGAAAACAGCACTATATTGCCAGTTTTATTTCCCCCCTGCTGCAGTCGTATGTGAACCAAGTGTGAGAAGAAAGGGGTAGGGACCTGGGGTGGCTTTGGCCTTGTGGCAAATGGAAGTTGGTCAAAAATGATTCTTCGGGGCATCTCCCCCTATATGCTGTAGGCAGTCTGAGATGCCTCCTTTGGGGTACAGTTATTTTGTCAGGACACAGCTGATAAATCAGACTATGCAAGCCACATTATGGCTATGTTTATCCAACATGCTTAGCACTGCAAAGTTTTAGGCTTATTATGTGGTTTGAATTCAAAACAGCCACCATCTTGAATCTCTTTAATCCTGATGCTGTGCCCGAGGCAAGAAGGCAGCTGCTTTCCATTGGCAGGACACGCTCAGCCTAAAACCTTGTGAAAAATGCAAAGTGCCTGTGGGGAAGAGGAAAATGGCGCTTGCTTAACTCGTACCCCCTGAAGTCCTTCCTTTGCTTGAGATTCATTGATAACAAGTTCATCATCTGGACCCATGGAAAAGCATTTCTCACTCTTTTATGACTTGAACAACTTCCCCCCTGCCATAAGCCTATGAAAAGACAGACAGACCACAGAAACAGAACCACAGATCACCGCTGGTTGTCATCAATAGCATAAATGATTCGAACACATTATTAATAAACTACAGCCCATACCGGACAATGACCCTTCATTTTCTCAGGCACTAGGTGGCAGGAACATACTTGCATATAGACAACCACCCAACTTGAAGCAGATTCTCATAAGCCGCAAGAAACAACAGGACAATGATGCCTACATGGGAACAAACCCTGAGCTCTACTTTGTACCAACAGCACCATCACAGTCCTCAACAAGTAGCCACACGTGATGAGAGGGGCCATCACATGCTGTTCCTCCAATGTGATATCTGCCAGCAATGCCCCTCGGGATTCTGTGTAGGAGAAATGGAACAAACTCTGCACAAATAAATGAATGGACAGAAGTTTGACGTTAGGACTCAAAACAAGGACGAAGTAGTATAAGAGCACTTCAGGTTCCCAGGACACTCTATGGCAGACCTCATAGTGACTGTTTTGGAAAAGCAGGACTTCAAAAGCACCATCAAGTAGAAAGTACTTAACTTACCCACATTGTAAGGCAGTGTTTCTCAACCTTGGCAGCTTTCAGACGTGTGGACTTCAACTCCCAGAATTCCCCA